CCGATGGAGGCAGAAATGTTGTAGGCCCGTGTGCTCAGATTTGGGCGCAGGTTAAAGAACTCTAGGTGGTCTAAACTTTTGGAGCCCTCCACTACGGCGTGTCTCATAATCATATAGTGATTTTGGAACGCTAAACTGTATATCTCAATCAATCCACAGACATATTCATAATAATGGCTAGCGAGAAAAGATAGCAACGAACAAAATCACCTTTTCTCCCAGTTCTGTCATATCTCCAGCTGGGAACGACGAGATATCTCTAGACAAAGTGCATGCTTCGAGTACCTCCTGGTAGCGGAGTGGCTCGTATTCTTTTCCAAAAAGCACGTTATCCCTGAGAGTCATGTTGAACACGCAGGCGACTTGGGGTACGTAGGCCACCGCGCCCTGCAAGCGGTGCATGCAGGACCATTCATAGTTAGGTATGCAGAAGACAATAATTTGTCTTTTTAATTCTGAGAAATTGCAAAAGACATTCATTTATTTTTTCATTTACTTCAAGGTATCTTACAGGACCCAGGGGTGGGGGCATTGAGTAAGGGGGATGATAAACTATATACACGTACGTATACTAATGGAGTTGGCAAAAATACATCAGAAAATATACAATTGCAATATAATAAACAGAAATCATTAGAGATAAATATATACAAGTAAAGATGACGTACGCATGCAAACAGTAAGCGAAAGTGTTCGTTTATTGAGCACAAAAACGGAGCAGTTACATGTCGCAGCTGCAATAATCTTTAAACGAGTTCAAGTTTTACAAAATAAAAACTAATACCATGTGCAATGAAGATGAGAAACAATACATTTCATAGAGGCAATACAGCAGAATGAGTCCACTGAGTGACGAAAGAAAAAAAGGGGATAGACGAGACACCTGCTAGTTAGAACTATCACATCTGACGTAGCATACGAGCAATTTGCTTTAACGATGGTGTAGGGCGAAAAAGTTCCCAAAATTCATCCTTGCGCTACGGAAAGGCATCTACTCGGTGAAGTTTGTGAAGTGGCTCGATAACATATGATGGAATGTTTCATGGTTTGTCTCGGCAGCATTGTATTCATGACATAAGCGTGATGACTCATGTTACTCCATGCGATATATGCTAGATATTGATAGCTTCTCATGTGCTATGACAACAAGCCACACTGCAACACTCGCGCACTCAGATGACTATTTATAATTTAAGAAAATAAGTGGAAATTCATAGGCTCGTTTTGTTCGTTGCACAATATTATGCTAACTAACTGGCAATTATGTCAAGGGAAGCATAGCAAACGTTATTTGTAGAAACGTTATCGTAAAATGTGAAGAAACAAAAGTGGACCATCGGGCGAAAGCCGAAGGCACACAATTCTTCCCACCGAATGACAAGCGCACGTGCATGAGCATCTAGCCCCCCCCCCCCCTTTCCCCATTCGCAAGGCAATGGCAAAGTACTCATCGTCGGCTCATCGAAGCGCGCTTATCTCCCACGCACCGACGAACTGGGCGCCGAATGCACGTGGCTTCTTTTTTTCTTTCTTGAGTTTTGATCTGTATAGACATGTACACATATACAGTGAGTGACTGAGGAAGCCGCGGCACGACGGCAAAAACCAACCGAGACTGCCCATTAAATTGGTATCGGAATAAAAAAAACATTCAGCTCTCACACACCACGCATGCAAAACGCAGCAATCTCCACATATGCCCGCACACTAGCGGCTGTGGCTGAACCACTAATGGAGAGAGAGAGGGCGTCGAAGTTTCGAGGCTACACTGCACATCTCCGTGAAAACAGTATATACTTTCCTTGTCGGTTAGTTACAGCGTTTCCTTCTTGCAGTAAGATATAATGTGCAGGCTTCACTTTAAATCGTAACGAGTATGCATGGAGCCATATGCATGGCATACGTTTACCATGAACAGAAGCAATAAAACGAAATCCAATCATGACTGCCTCGCATTCCTCTGCAGCAACTGTAACACAAGTTGCGGTGACGTTTGATATTCATGGTTGCATCGATGCTACACAGGCAGGCGTTCCATTCCACGACAAGGCGGTAGAAAATCCTAATGTGGGATGTAACCGTACTTATAGGCACGCGTTTACGACGGTGCAGGAATGGTTCCTGCAGCTTGAAATACTGCGTATATACAGTATATGCTCAACGAAAGTTCTTCTCGATTCTGCTTTAGTGCAGTTGCTGAGAACATCTGTACACCCTCCCCTCCTGTAGGGATGGTACACTTATTTGCATTGCTTCAGGTACTGCAGCAAGAAGCAAGAAGCAGGCTATGTATTGTGGACATTCCATGATATTTGTGGGTCGTTCGGTAAGAGTTAACTAGGACAAATGATCTGGTGAAATCATGGTGCTAAATGTATTTCTGCCATAGACGACAGCTGTATGTACTGGAACTTTGTACAATGAGTGTTGTTTATAAAGGCTGCTTACCTGTGTAGATAACATGCACTGTCAATGAGAAACAGCATGGGTACGCATGGGCCGCATCATTGTAAGGAGTGCTCGTTTGAGCCGCTACTGCGCTGCAGAAGAATCTTGCTAAGAAGCAAAGACAAAGTGGCATGTAAATTGGGAGAGGTGATGTAGATTAGGCAATTAGGCGAACAATGTACCAGTGTTCCAATCCTGTCATTGTATGATAGTGAATTTGCTTTTTATCTAATATGTTGGGACTATAGTTGGCTGGTCTTTTCGTGTGGTTGTACGCATGCTCGAGGATTTTATAGGATGAGCTTCGGTTCAACAAAGTAAGTGGCGAGTGCGCACTTTGCCGAGTCTCTTCCTTTGTCTTCTTTCAAGTTTGCGCCAACGATGTTTCAAACAACTAACCTGCTTCTTCCACTTCACAAGGGCGGCCTCAGCCTGGTGCATCTGTTTGTGCGACAGTTGATAGGACAGATGCTTGGGCTAGTTCGTGATTGGGAATCAACATATTTGCACAGCGCAAGACTACGAGTAGTTACAATTTTTACGACTAGTTATGAGTAGTTGTGATTTTTTCACCGAAAGGATGTGGGTCACCCCTTTCAATTAGCAGTTCTTGATAATCGTGTGTGTTACCGCCTTTCTTTTGCTTAGGTTACAACAAGCCTTGCTGAATAAAAGCATATGCAAGAATTAAAAAAAATGTTGATTCTGAGTCATTCTAGGCCAAATGACCCAGCCATTTTGGCGATCATCTCAAATGCATTTGTAAAAAAAATGTGCTGATTTACTGTATTGAAATTAGTGCAACTGTTGCATATTTCCCAGGAAAAAAATGTTTATCAACGTGGCTGCCCTTTGACCTTCCCGGAATGTTGTTGAGGTGTTGTTTGTGGAAAATACTGTTGTAAAAGTACTTCTCCTATTTTGCATACCAAATTTAGTTTACATGTAAATAAAATTGCTTGTGTAAGATGTTCACAGCTCCGCAATATTTGTGCAATTTTCTCGCACATTTTCCTCCAAAAATTACGCCATATTGTGTTATGTTGGTATTTATCTATTGCAATACTGCACTTTGTATATGTGAGTAATAAATACTCACTTCACATGAGGTATATTTTGGCAAAAAAAAAAGATATTTTAGACCTCTCAAGCTGCGAAACTTCCGGAGAAAAATTTAGAAGTTTCACATAAATGTCAGTTTTGTCCCTATTGAGATGCAATATGAACCATGTGGCGGTTCATTTGAAGTACCCTTACACATAAACCTAAAGTAAATGAAGAGTTCTTTTGATATGGTAAGTATTATCATTTCCAATTTTGAGGAAGAAAATAATTTTCAAATTTTTCCAATGACGGCAGTGGGGAATTTTAAGGTGGCACTTGTCGTATGACCAAATGGGAAGATATGGCCAGTGGAATAGTTCAAAAATTATTTTCTTTCTTAAAACAAAAAAATGTAGTAATAACGCTTACCTTATGAAAATAACTGTTTATTTGCTTTCAATTTAAGTATAAAGGTTATTTTCAATGGGACCCGCATATATAGCAAATTGCGCCTCAATATATACAAAAATGATTATTTTGTGAAATTTGTATAAATTTTTCTCGTAAACTTTAGCAGCTTGTGAGGTCTTATAAAATTTTTCCCTCGAAGCACACCTTCTGTGAAGTAAGTATTCACCACTCAGATGTTCATTCAAAGAGCAGTATTGCAATATAAAAAGTACAAACATAATACCTTTTGGCTGAATTCTTGGAGTCGCATGTGTCAGTAAAGTTGTACTAATAATACTAAGCTTCGAATATGTAACAAAAGCACTTGATATAAAAAGAATGAGGAGCACTTTTAAAAAAAATTTTCCACAAACAACACCCAAACAACTTTACAGGAACTTTAGAAGGCAGCCACGTGCCCCAAGATTTTTTTGTCTCCAAAGTATTCTAGTAGTTGACTGTTTTTAATGCAATAGATACACACTAATTTTTTCCAATACATTTGAAATAGTCGCCAAAATGGCTGGGACGTTTGGCGTGGAATGACCCAACTCTCAATTTTCAGAAATGACTCTTTACTTTAAAGTACTTTTACAGTATTGACAGAACAATGCTAACCGATCTGATTGTGAATAGGCTTTTCTCTGAACCTGTTTATTCACCACTATGCTAGATTTTGCGTGGTCGCGATTTATTTTTCTGTCACCTAAGATATGGACATTGTGAATGGTTTATTCAAAGAAAATGTGATTAAACTACGCACCTCCACTCTTTCATTTAGGACCTGAATAATATATATATATATATATATATATATATATATATATATATATTGTGGCCATGACAAGCGTATGACTATCTTCATTCTCTTTACTTATCATCATCAGCATCAATTGTACATCTGCATCTTCTCTATATCATCACCAGTGCGATTTAGCTCGAGCCTGGCTGAATAAACTGGTTTCTCACAAGTGGTTAACGGTGCTTTTCGTTCCCCCAAGTCCTCTCGTCCGTTCTCGCTGAAACGCCAATCGGGTCATTGCATACAACACCCAGCCATGGCAGCTCAAGAAAACCCATACACATCCAATGTCGCCGTCTTAATGCAGCCACCACCACCCACTCTGCCCAACAACATTCACCTGCGTGATCCACCTGTGTTTTTCGGTCTTCTAGATGACGAAGTAAAACACTGGATCAAGTACTACGACCTCATCAGCAATTTGAACAGGTGGGGCAATCCACAGAAGTTGTGCAGCGTCCCATTTTACTTGTCCAATGTCGCCAAAACTTGGTTCTGGAACCACCACTTGGATCTTCCCGGCGGGGACACTTTCTCGCAGCAACTTCGTCGAATTTTCGGTGCCCCTACCGTTCACGCTAAGGCCCTAAAGCTCGCTGAACGCACGCAGCTGCCGGGTGAATCTTACACCTCGCATATTGAGGATGTTCTCGCACTGTGCGAGCGTGTTAACTCCATTGCGTCTAAGAACGACCGAGTACGCCACATTGTTAAAGGCATCAACACCGTCGTCTTTAACATCCTCGCCACGGAAAATCCTGCCACCACCCAGGACGTGACAACCATCTGTCAGCGACTTGACAAGCTTCAGTCTCTTCGCCTCTGCTACGATGCCAGCGACATTCGTTTACCTGCACCCCTCGACTTGCGTGCGCTCATTCGCGACATCGTTCATGAAGAGCTTCACGGGCACTGCTCTTTTTGCGCTGCGGAAGTTACTTTCCCTTCAGCAAAAGATGGCTTGCGAGACCTGATTAGAGAAGATATCGCGTACACATCGCGTCCGACGTGTTCCAACGGTCCCTGCGTGCTCCAGATGCCCACGTACGCCAAAGCTGCCACGCTCTCTGCCACACCCACCGTCTCTGTGCCCACACCAGCAGACCATACGCCTGTGGCTTCATTGTCACCGCCACTGCGTGCACCACTTTACTATGACCCTCAGCGCCCTCCTCGGCCAATCTCTTACTACTGTGGCTATCGAGCAAATATCGCTTGGTTTTGTCGAAGGCGCAAACAAGACGAGCAACGCGGTCACGCTTCTGAAGAACATCGAAGCTTCCGTCCGGCCATGAACTACCTACGACCACTTTCCCGCTCGTATTATTACCGTTCACCGACTCCTACCTTCCATACTGACACGCTGAGAGTTCCCATACGTTTCGCCGCCGGTCGCCTACGCCTGGCTGTTCAGTAACGCCTCTGCGGCCCATCTCCCTTTCTACAAACGCCCACTTGGAAAACTCCCTGATGCAGTTTTAAGACGGAAAACTGCTTCCACCGCACAATTAAGAATTCCTCCAGAGCGGCCATCAATCTGTATAGTAGTGCTTGTAGAAGGTGTACGCGTTAAGGTGCTCGTACAGACTGGTGCTGCCGTTTGAGTTATTCATGCTGATTTTTGTTCTCATTTCGAAAAATCACCATGCCTTATGGCAGCCCACCTCTCCATGCCGCGACCAACGCTCTCATTTGTCCACTTGCACAGTGCACCGTTCGTGTTTGCATAAAACGCATTCGTCATAACATTGTTTTCGCGGCATTTCGTGAGTATTTCACGGTATTTTCGGTATTTTGTAAGCACATGGGCCCACAACATTTTCGATGGAAGCGAAAATGTTGTAGACCCGCGTGCTCACATTTGGGTGCACGTAAAAAACCCCACGTGGTCAAAATTTCCGGATCTCTCCACTACGGCGTCTTTGATAATCATATCGTGGATTCGGGACGTTAAACTTCACAAATCAATTAAGTCGTCAAAAGACCACGTGTACATGTGCCTACTTACATCTACGCATAACACGTGTATTTTGAGCAAAAAAGAATAAAGAAAAACAGGTGCATATTTCAACAAGTTACCACACAACATAGGATCAGGCTAAGTTTTTTGGGTGCAGGTGGCTAGATTAAGCCCATTTTAGTGATACAATGTTAAGTTAAGTTTCACTCCTCAGACTCACACCTCACCTACTTCGCATAGCATGAAGTTGGTGAGGTGTGAACCTGAGGAGTGAAACTTCAAATTGTATCACTGGAATGTGCTTAATTTAGACACCTTGACCACTTAGCCACCTAGACCCAAAAAAAGTTAGCCTGATTCTATCCTAGGTAACGCAGAAAGTTTAGTCCACTTGGTTTGAATGTATTCAATGTGAGGCAACGTTAGACGGTAAAATAAAACATTGCACTGACGTTTATAGTATTACGTTGCCATAACACAGTGTTTTTAATGTTGCAGCAACTATTAAACAATGACGTTGTCGTAACTTGTTATTTTAACAAGGAAATAACATTCAAATTATCACGTTGCCCTAACCTGATGGTATTAATGTGGCAACAAAGATAAAATATTCACAGTGCATCAACGTTGTACATAGACATCAAGCCCATGTTTAACAGTGAACGTAGAGACAACATGGAGAACATAATCGCTGAAACATCGAATAACACACACGACAACTTTTTCAACTTCGTGTACTCATCTTATTAATGCCTGAAAGTGACTAGTTAATGTGGTTGAGTAAGAATAGAAGAAGCATGAACAATACAGACAACAGTTCAGCCTATGTTCTTCACACACTAATCCTTCTATAAACTTGATTTATTTAACAGCTGTACCCTATTTTTTCACTCATTTGACAATGCATGATTTATGTAGTACAGGAGACAAGAAACACCACCATGAGTCACCTGACTAGGCCTCTATAGCTCCGCACCATACGTTTTTCACACGAAGTGACTGCATTGGCAAAATAAAGAAACACACGAACACAATCACATGGTGGAGGACATTGCGTCGTCTTCTTACGTCTGTAGCTAGATACACTAAACAAAGTGAATTCATAAGTGAGAAAGATATGCGCAAGAGCAAGCCTTTTAGGACCCCTAATTTCCATGCTACAAAAAGCCTATTTCAGGCAGGCTTCATCTTAACATGTATGCATGCAGCTTTGAAGAATAAATTACCTGTCTATTTTAATTATTACTGTGTGGTGTGAAGATAGCATGGGAATCATTACATTATGAAGTTAGCAAGCAGTAGTTAAATCAAACTCTGCCTCTATTATGATGCATCATCACATTCATATTTTGAAGAGTGCTTTTAGTATAAAGACACAAGAAACAGATCTACTAAAAGGAGAACTACATGCTTGCACGATGCAAGGCAACAGCCACAACAAACCCTACGATTGGCAAGAATTATGGAAGTGGGACAATAGGAACAATGGAGCTAGAAAAACAGCTGTTTCACAGAGCCCTTACTCTTGGAGAACATAAAAAGCAATGCAATAATTTGAGGAGAAGATGCAAGCAGGAAAATCAGTAACTGGATATAGTACTAAAGTAAAAACATGGCCGAAAAAGAGAGATATATATGGTATGAAGAAAGGCAGGGTGGTTCACCGGAAAGCAAGTATCTGGTTTATTACCCTGCACTTGGGAAGGCAGACAGAAAGGTAAGGAAAGCAGAATGAGAAAGAAAAAGAGAGCGGGAGGAAGTGAAAAGACACACACACACACTACAATGTCAAAAATGCTCGATGAGGCGGGTCGATCGCAGAAGTTTTAGGAGCACGGCTGAAGTGGTAATAAATGTATAGACATGCTGTGCTTTCGGACAAAAAATAAGGGTGCCCATTGTGGTTCGAAACTGCCTTGACAACTGTTTGAAGTACTCAAGTATCTAGTAGTGTCTGTGACTGATGAAAATGCAACAGAGCAGCTATTTTACGTGCTGTGCTTTAACAGCTTTGTTGGGGACTCGCCTCGTCATGAAAACAATTCATGTCTTCTTAACAACTGCGTGTAAGTAAACATCAGCCAAAAATTAAGCAATCGTAAAAAAGAGTGTTATTCTGTGGCTGCCAAAGCTATCATTCATGGCACACAAAGCAAACACCAGGCCTGCAGAACACGGTCTGCAAGCAAATATAACCATCAAAATGCACCGCCATGAAATGCCACACTAATACAGAAGGACGATCCCTCACAACAAACACAGTAGACACCAATATAGTGAAAGCACGCCTGCTGAAAACACTGTGTTGTTGGTACGAAATCCTAAACCACAAATTGCAGTATCGTGAAAAAGCACAGTAATCTGCAAACAATATCCCAAACAGAAAATCTGGGAGACGCCAACAAGGAGATGCCAAGCTTGCACAACACTCTATGCAGCACACAAATCACACCAGACCACTGCAGTCCTCTTGTCATTAGTCCAAGGCCCGGCTTACGCTTAACTTTGACTGTAAGGCTTACGTCGGCTTGAACAAATGCATCTACTCATTGCGATTCCCTTCCTCGAGTATTTCGAGTGAGAAGACACACAATTAAGGCAAAGCTACTAATGAAATGCCATTTTTTCTTCACATGACTTCACGCAACTTTCTATGTAGCAGATGTGGAAGTAGCACCAGATTCATGCAGCTGGCCGGGCGACTGATACATTTGGTCAACTGCAGTGTTTTTCTAGTTGGTCACAAACGGCTGAGGCATATGTCAAAGGTGTGCTCTTTTCTCCTTAACATGCTACCGTTCACTTCAATGCTGTAGGTTCAGGCTGTGACAGGCCCCACAACATCACCTTTATATCTATGGGATTCGAGGCGTGAATGTTTGCAGTCTTAATGGAGTCTTCTCTTTTCAGTAAAGTAAGCTTCGACGCATTCTCTTTGCAGTAGTTTCTTACTAATTCTGATTTTTCTACTAAGTCTGCTAGTGCAGGGTAGGTTTTTTAAGCAGCATGTTTGTTGCGGACAGAGTAGGCATGGTAACCTGCCAGCAGTTAGGCGAGCTTCCCTTTCTGTTCCGGCATGATGTATATGAATAAGAAGCACCACGTTTATGCAGCTCTGGACGACTAATACATTTGATCAACTGCAGCGTTTTTTTAATTGGTCCCAACACAACGAAGGCTTAGCTGCTTTTATCAAACTGTCAACTATGTATTAAATTAGACTAAAGCTGATTTGAGCTGGAAGTCGTGTGCTAGCTGCCACTGCTTGGTGAACTTGGCGAGCTGTGTATATGACAATTATGGACTATCGTCGCTAGTTCGCACAAATGGTGATTCATACTTGGGGAGGTCTATTGTCTAATCATCTTGTCGCGCTGCTGCTCATTGGTACATTCATGGACTTCTAAGATTGAGGCAGTGGGGAAGAGCCGAGACGTTATTTAGCTTGCCGCTTTAAGCAGCGAAGGGT